AAAAAAAAAAAAATTTTATAAGAGCATAATCTTTCGTGCACTACAGCCCACTTCATATGCATCCGAAGAGGGGGGCTGTAGCCCACGAAAGCTTATGCTCTAATAAATTTGTTAGTCTCTAATGTGCCACAAGTACTCCTGTTCTTCTTTTTGAGTTATTTACAGTGGTGCTCTCCAACCCAAAGGCTAAACTACTAGATTTGATATTTTTAAGACCACATTTCATAAATACTACAGCATGTCAAACAACGGAAAATACTTATGTGTAACATTTTTCTTTTTCATTGACATTTCCCGACCAATTCTAAAAAATACCATTTCTTCTGGGCTCTCAATCCATAGCAGATCTGCACTTCTGTATCTTCTACACTTCTCCCTTGCTTGAAGCCAGCTGGCAGGGGCCTCTGTGCTGAAGTAGTAACAGTTGCCACTCCAATACGACCAACCAGAAAAACGGGGGCACCACAAACTTTTCATTGCTAGTCAAATACAAAGGAGTAATAATACCCGAGGGTCCTGATTACTGACATCAAACAAAAGGAGAATTAGTTAAGCACTGACAAAATGCCGGGGAAAGGAAAATAACTGCTAGGAGTGAACACGTGAAACATTGCTTATGTCAAGAACAAGGGCAATTGCTCACCTTCAAACTTTTGTACTGCATTAGGAAAACCCGCCACACATAAAGCACTTATGTTTAGGTACCTCTCTCACAGGCTGTAGGTGCACTCTGAACACTGCACAAATGGAAATCGTCACAAGTTCCCGTGTAGGGATTGCACAGATCATCGTTGTGACACAAACCGCACACAGAGGAACAATCCCTTCCAAAGTAACCCATGGAGCAATCTAAGAAACAAAATACAAAACAGCACTGTCATTCATTTCAGGGACACATAGGCTGTCATGATACAAATTTACAGTGAGATTGTGGCTACCTCTTACAGTCAGGCAGGGTGTAAGGGACATCACCCCTGGAGAGCCTATGTAAGGGCTCCCCAAACAGACTGACGCAGAGAACACAAGGGCTACTACGAGCTTGCTCCCTTTAGGAAGCTAGTTGTGGAAAGGAGGCAGGGGTGAGGGGAGCCTCAAGGGCTGGGGCTCTGGCTTCCTAAGGCCAGCCAGGAGTGAGGGTATGATTCACCCCTTGAAGAATGTCTTATGGTGCTCACCGCAGGGCAGAGTAGCCGTTGAGGCCTCAGCCAAATGCTACAAATTTGCCTTATACCAACAACCACCAACAATAAGACACAAAACAATATTGTTATGAGCTGGGTGAAACTTTGTTATGCATTTAGTTAAAACCTCATTCAAATGGATGTGTGAACACTCCCTTCACTTAAGATAGTTGTATAAACAATTAGGGTCATGCCTAAAACAAGGCCTAATAAAATCTGCCCAGAAACTAGCACCAGGTGGGAGGGTTACACTGCGTATTGTGACCAGGTGTGTTGGATTTCGGGGCGGGGAGGCGGGAGAGGGGAGTAAGAGAACACACACAAAGTGAGAAGGGAGAGAGACAGAGGTAAAAGCAAGAGAAAGCCAAGCGCTTTGAGCACAGTCAAACCCTAGAAAAAGCTTCAGAGCAAACTTTTGGGACTGGGGCTGTAAGCTAAGAAACCGCTACTCTTGTTTTTGGTTACTCCTTCATTCAGAAGAGCAGCACTTCGCAAGTTCTTAGTAAATAAACAAGATTGCACCAAAGAAAACACCAACAACAACAACTTCTACTTCCAAATGGAACATTCCAGGGCCCTAAAATTTGACTAGCTGCTCAGGTCGAAAAGGGGCAACAATTTATTCAAATTATGTTAAAAATATGATTTTAAATTCCACAGTGCATAATCAATTCTGAGGTCATACCTGCCCCTAACAGAAACCTGAGGAGTCTGTCTTTTTCTTACACTTTGGTAACTCGTATGCAGCTTGTCAGGTCAACAGAGTCTCACTGAACTGGCCCAAAGGAAACTCACAAAAGTTTGGATGGTCATTCCCACAAAGTCCTCAGTTATATGATCATACAGCACTGGAGAATGTGACATACTTTCAGGGGAAAAATACAAGATATTGGGAAGTAGCCATAACCACAGCACTGCTGTTATCCTAACAGTCCATACTAAGATCACAGTGGCATCAGAAGCAGCTTCTCTCTGCCATTCTATATGATGCAGGAGGGACAGAGAGTGAAATCCTGACTCTAGTAAAGTCAATGGGAGCTGTTCCATTAACATCAATGGATCAGAATTTCACTCAGAGCATGTAAGTGGTCATGTGATGCAGTGGATTTGATCTATGGATTGTTCTAATAATTCAACTTACCTGATTTTACATAGGCATAGGAATTGCTCTCCTCACTCTTCAACAATACGGTCCCCCTGGCAAGGGCATATGCATTATTCCACGTAGAAATTCCTGTGCATTTCTCCCTAAGCTCCAGACAAGCTTCTTTAGCAGAATTCAAATCTGCATGTACTTGTGCTTGTACACTTGGTGGTGAGAGAAGTACTTTTCCTTTGTGTTCTTGATACCGCTCCGTATCTTGTGAGGGGGGGAAGGAAGACGGAAGAACAATAAAATGCATGTTGCCACCTGAAACGGAATGTATGCAGATACCCACACCTGCCCTGGAGCCAATGCTCCAAAATGCACAGCTCAGAGGTGTGCTCTGGCAAAAATACCCGACTCTCCATTTCGCCCCCCAGTAGCAGCTGGCATGTGCACTACTCCTGAGTTAACATAAAAAAATTCTTGCCGTTTCATCTAAACAAGGAAACATGATGAAAAGAGTGACAGACAGCAATGAACCCAGGTTCTGATCAGATCGAAACTGTTGTGTTCTCTATAGGTGTACCATGCATACTGCCTCTGTTGTGCTCCCCAGCTCAAACCTATGCAACAGTGTGACGGGGCATCTGCCCCACACTGGCCCTGAAAGGGTTAAAACCCAGCCTGGAGGGTTGCAAGGAAACAGCCAATTAGGACGGTGGCTGCAGCCAATTAGGGAGGCGGCAGGACCAGCCAATCAGGGCCCAGCTGGCCCATATAAAAGGAAGCAGCAGGCCAAAACAAGAAGTCTGCTGCAGGAAGCCCCAGGGAGGGGACTGGCTTCCTGGAGGGCTGCAGGACTAGCACTGTGAATAGGGCTTGCAGGCCCGAGGCCCTGGGAAGAGGGTGAAGGAGCCAGAGGCAGGAGCTGAAGGTGTTGGGGCTGTGAGGAAGTGGCCCAGGGAACTGAGTCAGACTGGTGGAGGAAAAAAAGGAGGGGCAGTGGAAAGTTGTTTACAGGATCCCTGGGCTGGGACTAGGGTGACCAGATGTCCTGATTTTATAGGGACAATCCCGATTTTTGGATCTTTTTCTTATATAGACTCCTACTGCCCCCCCATCCTGATTTTTCACATTTGTTGTTTGGTCACCCTAGCTGGGACCCAGAGTAGTGGGTGGGCCTGGGTCCTCATCCCCAGCCCCACTCCCACCCCAGAACCCAATCTCCCAGCCAAAGCTCTCACTCCCCCTGCACCCCTACCGTCTGCCCCACCCTGAGCCCCCTCCTGCACCGTGAACCCCTCATCCCTGGCCCCACCCTGCAGCCCTCACCCCCCTGCCATAGCAGAGTCCCTCAGCCACAGCCAGAGCCCTCATCCCCCACCACACCCCAACCCTCTGTCCTAGCCCTCAGCCCCCTCCCACATTCCAAACCTCCCAGCCCCACCCCAGAGCCTGCACCCTCATCCCCCCACGCCCTATTGTGCAATATAGGGAAACTGTTAAACGCTTCACTGCTTCCCCCAAGGCCTCCGTCCCGCCTCTTCCCACCCCCACTCCACCCCGCCCGCTTCTTCCCACCCAGTTCCGGCCCAAGTGCGCCACGTCCTCGCTCCTCCCTCCCTCCCTCCATTTCCCCCCCCATGGATGCTCCAGCCCCAGAACACCCATGGAGTCGGCGCCTATGGACTAGGACTAAGGACCAGTCTACACTTAAAGCTAAAAGCCCAAGTGTAGATGCAGTTATACTGATATGAAAGGTGCCTTTTACTGAGAGCTTGTCTTCACATACAGTTCTACGCAGCGCAGCTGAACCTGTGCAGCTCCGCTGCTGTAGCACTTTAGTGAAGACATTATTATGCCAACGAGAGAGCTTCTCCCATCGGCATAATTAATCCGCCTCCCCGAAAGGTGGTATCAGCTCCCATATCAACATAGTGCTGTCTACATGGGGGGGTTAGGTCGGTATAACTACCTTGCTCAGGAGTGTAGATTTTTCACACCCAAGCAACATAGTTTACCGACATAGGTCTATAGTTGTAGACCTGGCCTGATAGTGCTTATTTCAGATCCTGAGCTTGAAAACGCTACACAAGTATAACTGCATCCTCACTAATGTGGGTATAGGGCATTATACTGATTTAGGGCTTGTCTACACTTCAAACGCTACAGCAGAACAGCAGCTATGCTGTTCTAGCGCTTCAGTGCAGACGCTACCTATGCCAACAGGAGGGATTTTCCCACCAGCATAGGTAATTCACCTCCCCAAGAGGGGGGGGAGCTAGGTCGCTGTTCCGTCCACCCTGTGCAGTCTACAGAGGTATTTACATCGGTTTAACTACACAGCTCAGGAATGTGGATTTTTCACATTCCTGACCGACATAGTTAAACCAACCTAATTTTCTAGTGTAGATCAGGCCTTAGTTAAAGCAGCAAAACCTCCTAGTATATGCAAACCCTGAGTACTATGTTCCTACTCTTACAAACCTTCACTCCTGAGAGCAGTTCCACTGACTTCAAAAGGGACTACTTGTAAAAGCAAGGACTTCTCCCATGAGTAAAAGTTTGTAGGACTGAGGCCTAAAGGGTACATCTGCAAATGGAAATCCTGATTTAGATATCAATGGATTAAACAAGCAGTGTAAATTCTCACCTGCACTTCGCTTGCAGATCCAATGGGCCTTGGCACTACAGTCCACAGCAATCAAGATACCATTGGAAATCTTCACACAATAAGCATTGTTTGGTGGGGATGGGCGTGACATCCAAAGCCTTTCCATTCAATTTTAACAGAATACAAAAAAGTCACTGTTAAAGAAAACATCTAGAGAAATAATTACATTACAATGACACAGAGTCTTCATTTTTGAGGGGGCTTTTTTTTTGGCTCTATATTTGGTGGGAAAATGCAGGACAGAGGGGTGAGGAACTATAAAAAATTTCAGCAAAATTTCCCTTTTAAATTTTGATATTTGATAAGTATTGACCAGCTCTATTTGATGTAGGTTTTGGTTCCATTCTTTGCACCTGGGCACTCAACTTTGTGTTCTGCTGTATAGCATTTGAGTTTTAAAATAGGCTTCTCTCCCTTAAACAGATCTCATTGTATCCTACTTCATATCTGGGGAGAGATGGGGACCAATTTTGCAGAAAAGTGTCTTAGAAATAAAATATGATCCACTGCAATGTTGCTGTGAGGTAGAATCTTATGACTCAGATCTGTGCTGTGCTTCTGCAGAGTGCCAGACCAGGCAGACAGGGGTCTACGGTGTTCTTAACTCACTTTTGCACCCTCCCAATCCCGGGCTGGTCCAGAGGATGAAGCACCACCGCCCGCCCACAGCATAATCTGACAGCTATGGGATCCTACCTAAGAAACAGCAGCCCCCTGCTTGTCTCACCCCTCTCACCTCCACCACATCCACTACACTAGGGCATGTCAGTGGGTCCTTCAAAGGCAGCCTAATGGCTATTTTGTCAGTTCCTGTACTAGATGAATCCTTACCTGGACGTATCCAGGGATTATAGACTTTTTTATACTACTTTGGCCTTTTTACCTATAAAGAAACTGAAATGGGATTGAGGATCTGACCCCATTTCTTTATATTCCTCTTTTTCTATTAAATTAGACTCCTTGCATTCCTATTCCCAGAAACTTTGCAAAGCAACTTTAGTCTATGCATTTGGACTAACGGATGCAAGTCCATATTTTAAGACATATCCAAATGAATTTTCTTTTATACTTTGCCTCATTGGAGTTATCTAATATGTAATCTGACTTCTATTTTCTGCTCATTATATTTTTAAATTTTCTAAATTTGAATATTATTTAAAAAATTTTAAAAATGAGAGTGCACCCAACATGTTATAAAAATCAGTTAGCAAACAAACAAAAATGTTTCCAATTTATTAAGATGAGCTGTAATAGCAATTTGGTAATAAATACTAATATCACTGTCTTGACAGTCATGTCTATGATATTACATACTCAAATGAGCTTACACGATAATATGAATACTGCTCAAATCAGCTTCTTACCAGGGTGCTGTAATGTCTGCTAGTGTTCCTTCCGACCAGGCAAAATTAGTCACATTTTCCAAATTATTTAATCCAATCCAGAAATTGTTCAGAGGCAACCCTAAAATCCATTTCTGTGGAAATGATCAATTCTTTATAAACACATTTATGTATAGTAATAATTAGCACTTGTATAACAGCTTTTTATTCAGGCATTTCAGACATTAATTCTCATATCCACCCTGAGAAAAAGACATTATCCCTATTTTATAGATGTGGAAACTGAGGCACAGATAATTTAAGTGACTTGCTTGAGGTCATACAATGAATCAGTGGTTGAGTTGTAAAGAAAAACAAGAAGTTCTGACTCTCAATCCCTTTAACCACTAGATAGCACAGCCTTATATACACATTTGGCCAAATTCCGCTCCTAGTTATACACCGACAACCCAATTAACGTCAATGGGGTTGCTCAGTAGCACAGAGCAGACTCTGGCCCAGTGACATACAATATGCATTACATTCACGTAACACCAGAACTGAAAACAGTGCAGCTGGTAGTAAACATCATAAACCAGCAAACTAATCAATAGCTGTGTGCAATCTATACCCAGCCATATTTGATTTTTAAAGAGTTATTGAACATCAGAATAAAAAAGGCATTTAATTTGCATGACGAGGCAGAGATATGTACCTGGACAACAAAAGATCGTGCAAGACAGACTGCATAAACAGGCTTGCTTTTTTATCAAGTTCACAAGAACACATACTCCTTGTTTTATTAATTTCTTGTCCTTGCAAGGATCCGTGTTTTAAAAGAAGCGAGAGCTTACAAACTCTACGTCATTCCCTAGAAAGGTACTTGCAGTTGAGTCTATACTAGGGCATGAAGAACTTGACAGCATCTTTTAAATCACTAATTAACAAGCCTGCACGAGGGAAAACGACTCATTTATTGGGTTTTTTTTTAATCACTTTGTGTGACATTCTTTTCTCACTCATATTGCTTCTGTCTAGGAGTCAGGTTATACAGTATGCAAAGGAATCTGATTCTTCTCTGTCACTTTCACTTGTGAGAATCTGCACTTACCTCAATGAAGTCAATGGAGTTGCACTATTTTTGAAGAAGTGTAAGCGAAAGAAGAATCATTGTCAGATTTGGTCAAGCCAAGATTTGATAAACAATGCAATCTGAAGCATGAAGATCAGGGGAGATACTGCAAGATTATACAGTATACTTGTGGGACTCATTTCATTGAAGCAACCACAGTGCTTGCTTTAGGGACTATGTGGTATTATCAGAAACTTCCCATATCGGATTTTAGAGGAAATATTCCCTCAGCTCCTTGGAAATATTTATTTTTTTCTCTCTTCTGCAGCAAACGGCATTCCTTTAAGTTTGTGTCTGACGTTGAGTCACAGAGCTGGAATGCACAGGGGAGGGGAATAAATTCAGAGTGAATCATTGGCAGCAACACTCCTGGCGCCACAAACTCCTAAGCAGGTTCAATCATTATGGAGAAGGTGGGTGGAGGGAGACAGTTAGTGATAAGTGTCATGCCCTCACCAATCTGTGATAGCCAAGCATGACTAGGTTTCAGTGGTACTGTTTCACATAATGAACTATGGTTGTGCTGGAGATGGTGCAGTAGATTGAGAGGGGCTTTTAGTGGCAATGATTTTCTAGTGCTTCTTTAAACAGCATTCGTATTATTTGCTGGCCCTCAGCAAAGTGCCCATCAAGCTTACACACAACCAAGGTGCTAACTGACCTGCTGTCTGAATACAATTAATAAGCACACGATGATTCTATTTTTTATAAAGGCCTATGTGCCATTCTGAAGAGAATTCTCCTGGGTACAACTTTGAAGGGAAGGACCATTGCCTAGAAGTTAGAGATCAGATATGGAAGCCAGAAGTTCCGTATTCTGTTCCTCAAAATCTCAGACTCCCCATGTGACAGTACGCCAAAAGTTTCAACTACAACGCCCAAGGTTAGGTACTTAACTCCATATTTAGGCACCTAGATTAGTGACTTGTCTTCCTGTGGACTGTGGGTGTTCAGCACTTTTGAAAATCAGGCCGTTTATTCAGGTGCCTAACTTTAGGTTCATGCAATTACACTTATTGGCATGGATCTCCCGTACCTCATTTGGGAGTCTTCATTAATGTTTGTAAAATACTTTGAGATATTTGGAGAGAAGGTGTCATGAAGCTGCTAAAGGTTATGACTATTTTGAAAATGCAATAAGTAATATGTACATTTACATCAAGTTTGTCTTGTATAGTGTTTATAGGCATAAAAACCTTATGAAATACTGAATATTGTTTACTGTTATACTATTAAAAAAATAAACAAATTATGGTTGCCAAGTCAAGCACTCAAAAGTTAGGAAATGTCAGAAGTTAAAGCTGTCTGTGGCGGCACTACTACTTATGGCACGCTAGCTTCAGCAGAGCTAGCATGTCTGTCTCCCAGCTGCTGTGCAGACAAACCCCAAAGGTCTAAACTCAGCTCCCAACAGAGTTTACATGTGAAAACAACAGTTGTCCAAAGCTACAGTAGTTCTCTCATGCCACAGTTCAGAACCTGTCGCACAGTATAGTTAGGAAAAGTCCAAAACTAGAACAGCAGGGGCTGTAACTGGCAGAAATGTGTAGAGAAAAGCTTGTATATAGCTTATAAGAGCATCTGGCAACACATGCAAATGTAACTCTGAGGTTGGGGGGAAAAAAGATAAAATGAATCAACAATGTAGAAGAAATACTGACTAGAACATTGACTAGAAATAAAAGCAGCACGATTGGTCTTTGCAGTCAAGCTTTAAAATGATACACAAGGCACAAGCTTTACCTTTTCTGACGCATTAGTGATTTTTAATAGTTCTGTATCTCGATATCGTTTGCAGTATCTCAATGCTTCAGTCCAAGTCCCAGTGCGACTCCTCTCCATGCAATAACAATTCCCCTGCCAATAGTGCCAGCAGGGTGCTTGAGGACAATTCAATCTTAACTTGACTTTAGGGAATTAAAAAACAAGACCATTATCTTGCTATATGCAAAACTTATCCAGACAGAAATATATTTATTTCAGATACAATGTTCAGCTGAACAAAGGTTTTTTTGCTATACTTCCTATCAAAGCTTTCTGAAAAAAAGTCTATATTTAGGGAAAACACAAAGATGCAGTTTAGTTCCTGGTAAATTATTAATTTCCAAACTGCTCATGGGTTTTTCCTAATTAGTTGTAAAGTGCCTCCTCTGTACTGTATATCTGGGACCACTGCAGATTTAAGGTCTGTTAATGAGGCTTTGTAACCTACAGCTTCCTAAAAGTCTGACAGTTTAATGATTTATAAATGTATGAACACTCTGTGACTTGCAATACTACTGTAAAAACCAAATGCCACCAAACCATGCGCAAACACCCCCAAAAGAGCTAGACTTCTTGAGTCCCACTCGTTTTTGTATTTATAGCTCAACTACTAATTTTGGCTGCAGTTTTATTTTCCGCAATTTAAAAAAGTTAATGCTTATTCCAAACCCATGCCTCTCTGACATGCCACCAATGGCAGGAACAAATGAACATTTCCATGTCCTCATTTTAAAAGGGACACTTGGAAGGTTTTTTCCCTTAAAATTAATAGTCTGTCACTGGCATTTTTCCTGTCTGAAAGCTCATAGCGTTCTTGTTGAAACTAATAATTGCTGAGATGCTCAATTTAAACACAAAACTTAATGACGCAGCAGCCTTTCTAAGCATTTGACAAATCAAAGAGCATGTGTGAATACATACCCTCATACATGTTGTACAGTCCACTTACATAGCCAGGCACACAGCAAGTTAGAATGTAGAAAATAAATTAATGAATAAATAAAGCACCGTGGGCTGAATCCTTAGAGCAAATGCTATCAAATATGACAATTATCAAGCTGTGTTTAAAACCTAACTCTGACAGTGTCCCTATAATTACTACAAGATATTCTTATTCTTTTGTTGAACAAGGGAAAAACACTCACTAGAAGAAATCTTTGTCATCATCATGCAACAATGGCATTTGTTCATTGGTTTGATAAGGTTGGAGAATTAAAAATACTCTTTACATTTTTAAATATTGTCCTAGTTGCAAATATGGAACAAATTTTACACACAGAAATAACTTCTCTAATCTCACCTGCTTTGGTTCCCATATTCAATTATTTACCTTTCCAAATTTTATAATTTATACTTCACAATGTTCCTGAAAAACCATACAAAATTAATTTAATAGATGCTGATTTAGACTACCTTGTAATAAACAGAGAATAAATATACTTTTTCCCATCCTTCAGGCAGATGTCTCAGTAAAACATGAGCCTATTACCTCCTGCAAACAGCTTCTCGGCAATCTGAATGATCAATTTTGTCTATCTTACTGTTCACCCTCTACTGTAAATCTGAGAATTGATAGTATTAAATTATTAATCTCATTTGCAAATATGAGTCATTTTACCATTGCCATTTTTTTCCTGAATAGTGAATTCAGTTGTGGTGAAATATGGACAAACATCCTTGAAGACTCCTCCTTCTCCATCCTTTCTCTTCCTCACACCACATCTCCACCATGTCTATACTCTGACTTGCAGGATTACTGCAAGGGGTAAGAGTCTAGTTCAGTGATACTCAGACCTCAGTGGTTCAGGAGCCAAATTAATAATCAACATTACACAAAAGAGCCACAGTAGGGTAAATTTTATATATAAACTAGTAAATGAAACAATTAATTATACATATATATTATTCTCACAGCAAAATTACTGATCAAGTATTATTATTTTATCAACTACAATTGGTTAACAACATAGTAAAAGCATTTTGATTGGTTAATAAATTAATTAAATCACTTTTTTTAATATCAAGAGCTGCAAAGAGCCGCAGGAGACACCTTACATAGCCACTTGCGGTTCGTAAGCTTCAGTCTGAGTATCACTGGTCTAGTTCAATCATCATTGCCTAGTCCGTCCTTAGACTGTCCTCTGAGAGGATCAAGAAGGGTGTCAGTTGTGGAGGTCTTTTGTGTTTTTACTGTGGGCATTGGCCATTGGTAACTGCTGTGAAACCAACAGCTCTCATCACATAGGCCAGTAACCCCCATCTGATAATGACTTTTAGTTATGACTACAGATGGCTCAAGATTGTTTTGTAACAACTTTCAACATTTCAAAATGTGTTTTCATTCTGCATTAGACCGAAAAAAATTTTCAATGTTTTCACAAAATGGACTTATGTTAAAACGCCCATCTTTGAATGGAAAAAGGTCAAGTTGCTGGGGTTTTTTTTCTGGGGAACTCAGAAAGAAACCTTCCCATTGAAAACTTAGTTGAAATCGATATCTTTCCACAACATTTGTTTTGACCTCTATGAAACAACAGTTTGACAAAAATATTCTGATCAGTTCTAGTGGCTCTTAGAACCACAACCACATTCTGCACTTAGACAGCACTTTAGGAGCAATCGATCTGACCATAATCACATTTTAATAGGCTTCTTTTCCAAAGAGGGACCTTCTAAACAATCAAAAAGTGGGTACATCCCAAATCGTCACTATCCCTTAGGTATCATGATTTGCTGAATCCTAACGATTGGTCTTAATAAGAAGTTTCAAGTCAAAGCAAAATGCACTTACAATCTTTTGAAGACAAATTACTTCCATTTAATCATTTGAATTTTACATTAAATAAAAAATTTAGGTTTTTTTAATCACTGAGATTGGATATCTTTTAGGAAACAAGGTTCAAGTTTCTCGCTGTGTATGTATTTGGAGTTCAACAAAATGCTGATACACAACCAATACTCATGAAAGGCATCCTGTTCACAAATGGGAAATTTTACGTTTGTCTACAGAAGGGGCATACACTGGGCAATGAGAGTGCAAACTCACCTGCATTCTACTCCTCCATGTGTCTCAAACAATAACCAGGAAGCACTCCCACAGTGGCCAGAAGGTAGTTAATTCTTCATGTTCATTGAGTCCATAACCTCAACAGCCAACAAGGCAGCCAGTTTTGATGAAGGTTTCTCTGATGTGGCTAGATGTCCAACAGGGACTGGATTGAAACCACCAGTTCTTTTTTGATAGGCCACTGTACCAACCATCAAATGGAAAACTGGCAGCCCCTACCAAGCTGGGGTGGCTACTAACTGTGAAGAGCTCTATATCCTATTACAAATCTCCAAGCCAAGCAGACATAAATAAGGGCCTGGGCCTAGAACAAGTAAGGGGCCTTCATCACCCTCACGCACCTGCAAAAATCAGGGCATAATCCCACTCATGCTAAATGCTAGGTCTGGAATTTTCAAAGGAGCCTTATATATTTAGACACTCAAATCCCCTATCTCGCTCTCGTAG